GGGGGAGGGGGAGGAGGAGGAGGAGGAGGGGGAGGAGGGGGAGGAGGAGGAGGAGGCGGGAGAATGAATCATGGCTGAGAACCAGATGTTGCTGTGGCTCAGGCTGTTTTTAGAGCAGCAGTGGATATTTTGATTCTATTTTTTAGTCTTGGGAAAAAGATGAGAACATGTGAAGCTGTCGAGGAAACAGAACAATAATCACTCACATGTGATTTCCCCCATTTCTAATAATAATTCTAATAATAATCATTTCTGCACATTTCTTTGTAAAGATCTAAAGATCTTCATGATGGACAAACAAGAAAACTGATTTCCTGTTTCGTTGCAGAGGAAAGTCAGTGAAGAGTCAGATGAAGTATTGGTGTCACAGGTCTGATGCTGGGGCTCTGATATGATCAGATTAATTCAAGTGGGACAGATGCTGCTCTCAGGTTACCCACCCCCCGTCGTGGCCTTTACTTCCTGCCAGCTCGCTGACGTAGTAAATCCAGCGTCCCCTGTTTACCTTCCAGCAGCGATATCCAGGCAACAGAGCTGAAGCTGCTATATTTGGGCCTCGGCTGCGTGACCAGATAAAGAGTCAACTCGGTTCCTTTCTTGGTGCTGAATGAGTTCACGGATTAATGGCACAGAAGCCTCACGGCTAATTATAGAGCGCAGCTGCTGGGTTTGACCCTGTGAAACGCCATGTGCGCGCCACCGTGCACGCCACCATGTCCGCCACCGTGGAGGAGGAGGCACAGCTGAACAGATAGAGGAAAAACTCATTCAAGTTTTATCTGTTTAAGAGGAAGTCATTCTTCTTCTCTCCATGATAACCTGTATGTTAAAGCACCTCTGACGTGGGGCCCCTCCGAGGGCCCCTGGTGGCCCCCAGACACGTTTAAAACACGTCACTGCACCTCAACCTTCAGACGGATGTGTCTTTTCCAGAGATTTGAACCGTCGCTCTCTTCTTCGTCCTCTGATGATGAAACAGGAAACAGCAACACAACCTTCAGCTGTTTCGTCAAATGATCAGTTTCAAGGTCAAAACTTTTATTTCAGATAAAGTCACACTGATTCTTCATGTATTTGAATGATGAACATCAAACTTTGAAAACCTTAAACATCACGACACTGAGCTTTGTTTCATTCAGGCTCCACGCGAATACGTTTCAGCTCACTGTTGCTATGGTAACGCCTGGCGGAGTGTTCCAGCCTCTAATAACTGGTGTTTTTATCATGTTTGAGATTCATCCACAGCTTTTAGAAAGAAAATGTCTCATCTGTAAATGTCCAGAGTGATTTTATCTGAACAATCCAAAGATTTTCAGGCTCCACCCACACTTCTAACTTTTCATTTGAAAACTCACGACTTCCAGCAGAGAAGTTTGAAAACTCTGGAGCTGAGTTTAACTGCGGACGAACAGAAACTGAGATGTTTGGAAACGATGACGCTCACGACCTCTTACTGCTTGGATCTTTTCTGTCAGGACGTAGTTTTCACTGTTAAGTTCCTGTCACATGACCTCATCATGACTCCAACCGCCAGCGTCAGCTCCCAGAACACAACACGGAGAACCAGTGTTACTGTTGTTCACTTCTGGGTTTTACTGAGATACAGCTGTTTACATGTGGAGGAGAAGAGATGTTGAACAATCTGCAACAGTTCCCGGGGCCACACACACGCACAGTGCACGTCAGTGAACACGTTACTATTACTAACACGTTACTGTCTTCAGGCGTGTGAGTGTGAACGAGGACGAAATCTGATATGGAGCCAAAAACACTTGTGTGGAAAGAGGTTTTAGTTTGAAAACATTGTTTCAGAATGAAGCCTCAGAAGAAAAAGACAAGAAAGATTTCGTTAAACACGATTCATTTTCAATAATTAAAATATTTTATATTAAGTTTTTACTGAAACATGAATCTGTTTGACCCAAACCCTGAATCTGGAAACGTTTTCTCCACATGGCTGAAAGAGAGGGCGCCACACACACACACACACACACGTTTGTACAGCTGTCTTAGTGGGTTAGAGCATAATGCATTCTCTAACCCATCCAACTAATGCCTAACCCTTAACCCTTTACCCTTAACCCTTTACCTTTAACCCTTTACCTTTAACCCTTAACCTAACCCTTTACCTTTAACCCTTAACCTACTGTAAACCTAATTCTAACCCTAAAACCTCAAAACATTCCATTAAAGGGGGGGTCACAAACTGAGGAGCGGCCAAAATGTCCTCACTTTGACCAAAATGTCCTCATAGGTTAAAGGCTCCAACTGGTCCTCACAAAGAAGCTGTACAAACACAAGTGTGTCACTCCATGATCGACCTTGAAGAGGGGCGTGTTATTGCAGCAGAGGGGGAGGAGACCGAAGAAGAGTGAGGGGGTGTGACAGACGAGCATGTGACCCCTGAGCAAGGCATTTCTTACCCCCCCACTCTGAAGGAAGGCCCCTCCTTCTTCTTGTGTCATTTTCTTCTGATGGTGACAACAAAAAAAAAAAAAAAGGGGGGGGGGGGGGCGACGTCAGGTGTGAGTCATCAAAACAATCTACATCAGACTCACAGGCATTCTGACGCCATGGCAACAACACCACATGCACCATGTTGCCATGGTGACCGTTAGCCCTTCATCTGCTGCCACAAGACAGCTCTCCTCCACCTCCTCCCTCTCTCCTCCACCTCCTCCCTCTCTCCTCC